TGCTTTGATATTACATATATAGGTTCTACATGTGGACCTCTCTCAGATTTGTTCATTTTGTAATGATATCTTTAATTCTCTAATTTTGGTGAATATTTTTGTCATTTTTGGTAAAAAGTGATATTTTCGACTTCTTGTTAAAAACCGCAAGTCCAATTGCTTTGATATTACATATATAGGTACTACATGTGGACCTCTCTCAGATTTGTTCATTTTGTAATGATATCTTTAATTCTCTAATTTTGGTGAATATTTTTGTCATTTTTGGTAAAAAGTGATATTTTCGACTTCTTGTTAAAAACCAATAGTTCAATTGCTTTGATATTACATATATAGATACTACATGTAGACCTTTCTCAGATTTGTTCATTTTGTGATATCTTCAATTCTCTAATTTTGGTGAATATTTTTGTCATTTTTGGTAGAAAGTGATATTTTCGACTTCTTGTTAAAAACTGTAAGTCCGATTGCTTTGATACTATTCATATTGTTCATTTTCTAATGATGTCTTCAGTTCTTTAATTGAAATGTGCATTGCTAACAGCGGAGCTATCTCAGCCGAGAGGCTGCTTGTTTTTTTTTTCTCTTTTTTTTTTCGACATTGTTTATTCAGTCTAATGATGTCATTGAAACTGCAACGCTTGGAAACACATCTGTTTTTTGATCAACAGTGGAAGTAGCGACAAACTTGACCCGCTCATGTTTTTGAAGTGACGTCACTGTTTCTCCATTTTGGATGCTTCAGTCGAACGTTGTTGACTTTAAAATAGACATCTTTTTAGTTGATTTTTAGTCGAGTGGAAGAAGGGAGGGAGTGGGTGTGGTGGCAGATCATGGTAGGGTACATTTTGGTCTATCATGTACAAGAATTGCACCTCGGCATCATTCCTCGTTTTTATTTTACCATTCTCAATCTCTTGAGAGAATAAAACTAATTTCTTTTTTCGTCACAGCAGCGTGTCAAATTCCTCAGCTTTGGGGAATTGTCGTATTCTGTTCATATTGCTCTCATCGCTCATCAATATAAAAAAGAAAAAGATGTCGTTATCCCACTTGTCGTTATCCCTCTTCTAATAACTTGCCAACATTGGCATCCGACTTTAAATAATATTCGTAGACCTGCTGTCAGTGATGGTTTTTTATTCCCCAGTATGTTATAGTCTCAAATCCAACCACATGTCATTGTTTTAATTTACCTATGGAAATTAAACTACCCGCAGAATGAATGAGTATGTTTAATAATAGTGAAATAGACATGCCACAGCATTCACAGGGCCATATGATATAACGTCGTTTTCC